AGAATGGAAAGCAAGGTCTTGAAGGATATTTGCACGTCCATGATCAAAGGAGAAATATTCACTATACCCCAAAAATGGAAACAACCCAAGTATCAATGGACAGATGAACAGATAAACAAAACATGATATATACATATAGCATTATATGTATATTATATATGATTAATATATATTAATATGAATATTATTTGGTCTTAAAAAGAAAGGAAATTCTGACATGCTACAATACGAATGAGTCTTGAGGACATATGTTAAACGAAATAAGGCAGTCACTAAATGACAAATACTGTATGATCCACTTATATGAGGAACCTAACGTAGTCAAATTTAGGAACAGAAAATAAAATGGTGGCTTCCAGGGCCACGGGAAAGACAGCATGGGGAGTTACTGTTTAGTGGGTACAGAGTTTCAGTTCTGCAAGATGAGAAGAGTTCTAGAAATGGACGGTGGTGACGGTTGTATAACAATATGAATGCATTTACAGCCACTGCACTGTACACTTAAATATGTTTAAGATGGTAACATTTAGGGGCACCTGGGGGGTTCAGTTGGTTAAGCATCTGACTTTGGCTCAGGTCATGATCTCACAGTTCGTGGGTTCGAGCCCCGCGTCAGGCTCTGTGCTGACAGCTAGCTCAGAGCCCGGAGCCTGCTTCAGATCCTGTGTCTCCCTCTCTCTCTGACTCTCCCTTGTTCACACTGTCTCCCTCTCTCTCTCAGAAATAAATAGATAGATAGATAAATAAATACATTAAAAGGACGGTAACGTTTATGCTATGTGTATTTTTTTTCATGATTTTTTAAAAGTAGAAATAGTAGATGGGGTGCTGGGTGGCTCCTCAGTTAAGCATTCAACTTTGTCTCAGGTCCTAATCTCATAGTTCGTAAGTTCAAGCCCTGCATCGGGCTCTATGCTCACAGCTCAGAGCCTGGAGCCTGCTTCAGATTCTGTGCCTCCCTCTCTCGGCCCCTCCCCCACTTGCACTCTGTCTCTCTCTCAAAAATAGATGTTAATAAAAACACTTTTTTTAAAGTGTAAATAGTGGAGGGGCACCTGAGTGACTTAGTCAGTTAGACATCCGACTTTGGCTCAGGTCATGATCTCATAGTCCATAAGTTCGAGCTTTTCATCAGGCTCTCTGCTGACAGCTCAGACAGAGCCTGGATCCTGCTTCAGATTCTGTGTCTCCCTTTCTCTCTGCCCCTTCCTTGCTCGTGCTTTGTCTCTCTCTCTCAAAAAATAAACATTTAAAAAATTTTTAATATAAAAAAAGTGGAAATAGTGGAGAAATAAAGGGAAAACTGACTCTACTTCCTTCATAATTATACTTGACCAGTTCCAAGTCCTTTGCTTTGAGGACCTATAGCTATTGACAAACTGTTGCTATTTACATTTTCTTCAACAGGCCCATCAGACAGTTATCCTAATTAACCTGTTTTACAGAGAGGAAAGAAACTTGCTCAAATTCTCAACAGTGGTATGTACCAGAGCCCTGACTTTGGTTCAGGTCTCCTAGGCATGTGAAAACACTGGCAAAGCAAAGCCACCATATGCCTGTGGCCTCTGATACCAAATCCAATCACATTTTACCAAATGATTGCTATAGCTTTTTGCTGACTGATATTATTTTAATAATGTGGTAACATTTTTCGGCTCCCATGCCTTATTTCAAATGCAGAGCAAAGTTACATTGTTCTGCTCAAAGCTATATTTGTAAACTTCCCCAAAGCATATTTCTGTCTTCCACGCTTGAGCTGTTAGACTTCGAGTTAAGTAACATTGCACTCAGTATTCATCACGTTCCCCAGCCTTGTAAAGTTCTGCTGGTGATTTGACTAGAGGTAAACCCAACTTGAGAAAAATGCAGCATTAAATCTGGTTCATGGGTGATACCAACGAAAGCCATCCGTTGGTGTGTCTGTTTCTCTTGATTGTGAACTCTTGATTCTTCATTGAGAGTAGAAACTGTCAAATTCATTTTAAAATTGTTTTTGATGCTTATTTATTTTTGAGAGAGAAAGAGAGACAAAGCACAAGTGGGGAAGGGGCTGAGAGAGAGGGAGACACAGAATCTGAAGCAGGCTCCGGGCTCTGAGCTGTTAGCACGGAGCCCAATGCAGGGCTCGAACTCACAAACCCTGAGATCATCACCTGAGCCAAAGTCGAATGCTTAACCAACTAAGCCACCCAGGTGCCCCTCAAATTCATTCTTTTACCCTCAGTATCTCACGCAGATCCTCAATTACTGATTGTTGAGGTGAATGGAGAATGAATGAGGTGAATGAATGGAGGTGTCAGTGATGGCAGTATTGAGGCAGATGCCAAGGCAAATTCCAAAAGCTATTATAGAGAATAAGAATAGCTAATATTCATAAGCACTTACTCTGTCACTCTGTTGGATGTATTACATACATTAACTGTGCAATCCCAAAACTATACTAGGTGGCAAGTATTCTGCTACCATATTTCAGATGGAGAAACTTAAGATCAGAGACATCAGTATTTTGCTCATGGCATCACCAGTGATAAGCCATATAATATGAACTGCTTAAACTCAAAACTAATACCTTCAGCCTCTGCAGTATTCTACCTCCTCATACAGTTGCATACTATTGTATTCAGTCTGCTTTTCAGTGCACGGTGGTGTACTAGGAACGGTACTAAGCTGTCAAAAGCAGGATATTTAAGTCCCGGCTACCTCAGCTGCTAATTGAGCAAGCTATTTCGACATCTATACAATGGGAAGTCCTTGCCTTACCTACCTGAGTTTTAAGACTGTCTCAGATGAAGTATTTAGCAAACTGAAAAATTAATTGTAACAAATGCTGGTCTTTTTTTTCTTTTAATTTTTTAACGTTTTATTTTTTTTTTATTTAGTTATTTCTGAGAGAGACAGAGACAGCGTGAGCAGGGGAGGGTCAGAGAGAGAGGGAGACATAGAATCTGAAACAGACTCCAGGCTCTGAACTAGCTAGCTGTCAGCACAGAGCTCAACGCAGGGCTCAAACCCATGAACTGTGAGGTCATAACCTGAGCCCAAGTCGCCCACCCAACCAACTGAGCCAACCAGGCGCCCCCTGGTGTTTCTGCTTCTACTTTTAGTCTCAAGAAAATTTAGGTCTTTCCGGTCAATTAAAATCTTAGGCTTGGTAAATATTTTCCTTTAGGTAGATAAATGTATCCTTAAAATCTCAATATGAACCAAAAAGATTGTGCAATATGGTCACTTATTTATTGCTAGAGCTTTTTTTTTTTTTCCTTCACTTTTACAGTGGGAAACTCTGGCAAATACCACCAATCAGGATCTCCAGAAGTGGAACAAAGTGACATCATGCACTTCCTGGTGTGATGCACCAACACACATCACTTTAGAGTATTTCTGCCAAAAATCTAATGAAAAACAATCAAACTTACTCTACAAGACAAATGACCCAGACTCTGTAAAAATATCAGTGTCATCGAAGCCAAAGAAAGACTGAGGAACTACTCCAGGTTTACAGAGACTAAAGACACATAACTAAATACAATGCATGATAATGAAAAAGTATTCTGCATTATTGAGATAATTGGCAAAATATTTGTAGATAGCATACATTAGATAAAATGAATGCAGCAATGTCAAACACCCTGAATTTGATCATTGTATTTTGGTTAGAGAATGCCTTTGCTGGGGCGCCTGGGTGGCTTAGTCGGTTAAGTGTCCGACTTTCGCTTAGGTCATGATCTCCCGGTTCGTGGGTTCGGGCCCCGCGTCGGGCTCTGTGCTGACTGCCAGCTCAGAGCCTGGAGCCTGTTTCAGTCTGTGACTCCCTCTCTCTCTGACCCTCCCCTGCTCACGCTGTCTCTCTCTCTCTCTCTCCTAGAAATTTAAAAAAAAAAAATTAAAAAATATTTAAAATAAAAAAAAGAGAGAGAATGCCTTTGCTTTTAGGAGGAAACCTACTAGAATATTTAGGGATGAAGGACCCTGATGTCTCTAATGTACCTTCAGTCGTTTTTCTAAATATAAATAATATAAAAATACTACATACTTATGCACGGGCTAACATATTAATTCATGGAGGATACCATAGTGGGATAAAATGTCAAGTGGAAAAATTAGTTATATTTGTACAATATGTTACTAATTCTCCACAGTAAGCCAAGAATCCGAGAAATCTAAATATAGGTCAGGTGTAAGGCAACAATCAAAGGTGCTGAATATTAGAATTCCTATAACATGTTGGAAAATCCACCCCGTTTTGCATCTAAGAGTGTCCCCAGTTCGAGGGATTTCTGTGGTCAGTACGGTGAGGCTGAGGACAACTGTCAGGTTATCAATCCAGCTGAACGCAATGCCTTCCCCCCCCCCAACCCCCCCAACCCCGTCTCTGGTAACACCCCTAACACACCATGTCTAGTGGGACCCTCACCCGGACTGAGCCAGCCCTGCCTTCATGTGCGTGCGTGTGCGCGTGTGTGTGTTACCGCACACCCGATGCCCCAAAGTCCCCAGTGCTTAAGGACCTCCTGAGAGCAACTGAATAAATAGATCCAAGGACAACTGAGTGACTGTTTACAGGGTGATTAGCAACGAAGAGGCCAGCACCTTTGCTCAGGGCCGTCATTAACCCTTCCATCACCCGACTTTGAAGAAACTGCTCCGAATCCGGTCTCAGCAGGCAAGCAGTGTAAGTTAATGAGCGCGGGGACGGGCGACGGGGGCGATCTTTAAAGTCTCACCCGTTTAAACTGAGACGCAAACCGGTACCGCCTAAACTCGGACGCACTTCACAAACTCACGACCTCCTAACTTCCTAGAAGTACCCAGCCGGCCGCGGCCACTCCCCAGGCCGGGCGCGACCCGCCACGGCGCGCCGACGCCCCCACGCACTGGGAAGAAGTTTGCAAACACCGAGCGCCTGCGCGCCCCGCGGCCGTTCGCCCCCGGCTGCTGCGCGGCGTTGGGAGGGGCCGCCGGGGCCACCCCCGCGCGCGGCCGGCGGGCTGGGACCGTACCTCGGGCGCGGGCGACGAGGCGCTGCAGGCGGCGTCGCGGGCCGGGTCGCGGCGCCCGGAGCCGGAGGAGCGGCGGCGGCTCATGGCGCGCTCGCAGCGCCGGCGGCGGGGAGCGGAGGGTGCGGGCGCGCGCGCGTCTCCGCGGCAACCGGCACACAGGCGCGGGCGCGCGCGGGAGCCGGCGGCGGGGAGCGGAGGGTGCGGGCGCGCGCGCGTCTCCGCGGCAACCGGCACACAGGCGCGGGCGCGCGCGCGGGAGCCGGCGGCGGGCGGGGCGGCGGGCGGGGCGGCGGGACCCAGCCCGTCCCTGCGGACTGCGCCCTGCGGCGCGCGGGCTCTGCCTTCGGCGGCCCCGGCGGCCCGGTCTGGCCTGGCCTGGGCTTGGTTGAGCGGCAGGCACTGGCCAAAAGACTGGGGGTCCCGGGTCTTCGCCGTGGGACTCCCCCGCGGGCGTGATTCCAGGTCTTGTCCCCTCTGCCAGGCCGGCACGAGTGAGAGCAAGTGGTCAGAGTTATGGTCAACGTTATGGTGCTGGCGCGCGGGATGTGTTGGCGGGTGCTGACACAAAGATGAAGAGCATTTATTGAGCACCTCCTGTGTGCAAACGCTGTGCTCCTTCGAGCTCCAGGGCCGGCTTCCAGGGCGTGCCCCCTGTGCACTTACACAGACCCTGTGCTCAGATGGGCCTCGCGCTTGGTTGAATGTTTGGCGGCTCCAGCCTTGGAATTCTTAACGATTTTGGAACACAGGCCGGTATATTTTTCATTTAGTACTGGGCTCTGCAAATTAAGTAGCCCGTCCTGGTGAGTGTGCTTGCATTTGACCTTCTCAACGACCCCGCAGGAAAATGTAAGTAATAGTATTAACTGGTGTTAGTAACAGCCACAGCTTCTAGTTCTGAAACACCGAAGTGTTCTTTAGAGCGATTCTAAGTGCTTTCCATGCATGATCTCATTGAATAAAACAAGATTATGAAGTGGACATCAGAATAATCTATCGCTAAGATGAGGAAATAACCACAAGGAAATGAAATAACTTGTTCACGAGAATACAGCTGGTCAGGGGTAGAATGAGGATCAGACGCCAGACCATGGGACTAAAGCACAGAGAAGGTGAGTATCCTGCGTTCGGTCCCACCAGTTGCAGCAGAGATGGAAAATGGAGCCCCAGTCACCTCACTGCAAAGCCCTGGTGGACATAGATGCTGTTCCAAAATGAAACAAAATCAGAGAGATAGGCACTCTTCTGGGATTCCATGCAGTTATCCTGCCTGTATCCATTATTGGCTGAGGATCCCTTGGCCTTGACAATGGCTTTTGATTTTACAGTTAATATTGCCACCTATCCAAGCCATAATCACTTCAAAGGCTTTCACTTGGAGCACCACTTAAAAAAAAAAAAAAAAAAAAGAATCCTTAAGGGAAACTGAGGCTTTCAGAAATCTCCTACTAACAGTATAATTTGGGGGTGCCTGGGTGGCTCAGTCAGTTGAGTATCCAACTCTTGATTTCTGATCAGGTCATGATTCCAGGTTCGTGGCACAGAGCACCCCCTCTCCAGCTCTGTGATGAGCATGGAGCCTGCTTAAGATTCTCTCTCTCCTTCTGCTCCTCTCCCCTGCTTTCTCTCTCTCTCTCTCTCTCTCTCTCTCAATAAAAATAAAAATAAAATAGTGTAATTTGTAGTAACCATGTTTTCAAGGTGCAGTCTCTCCTTGCAGTGGAATCGCTACACAGTTCTTAAATCTTCAATGAAAATACGCTGCCTGAGGAAATGCATAATTGATGAAACCCCAAAGCACCTGGCAGAGAAAGAAGCTGAGAAAGTCTCTTCTCTATTAACCCCAGCATCCAGTTGTTCCAGAATTCAATTTTATGAAGTCTAACCCTGGTCACTGTGGTCAACCTTGTAACTCTTCTTCAAGACAACGTAAGATATGAAAAGACTGAATTCCCACAGCCTTTTGAAAAGTCAGCATTGGTTGGGGTGCCTGGCTGGCTCAGCTGGTAGAGTGTACGACTCTCGACCTTGGGGTTGTGGGTTTAAGCCCAACGTTGGGTGTAGAGATCACTGAAAATAAAAATCTTTAGAAAAAAAAAGTCACTGTTGGTGATGGATGCATTAATTAACTAGATGAGAGGAATCCTTTCACGATGCATACATACATCACCACCACACACACTATACACACTGTATGTAACTTAAAATTGTACTTGTCAGTTACACTAAAGCTGAAAAAAACACAAACACACACAATAAAGAATGTTAATCACTGTTAAAAAGATTTTTCTTTAAGTAACAACAATGCACTTGTGTGTAAGTGAGAGCAGGAAAAGTGGCTGGCCCCTGTCCAGACGCCTTCGAACTTTCTGGGATGTCAAGACATGAGTCAAGTGACTCTTCAAGGCAGCATGTGCTGATGAGTCCTCTGAGAGTTGAGAGGGAGGTCTGAGTCTGGATGGAGGCCTGAGCTGGACCGTGGAAGGGACTACAGTTTGGGACCGGCTTGCCCAATGGCGAGCAACATGCAGGCTGCAGGTGGGGAGACCCTGGGCATGATGAGGGCGTAAGCAAGGGAAGGAGGTAAAGATGGACAAAGCAAGTTCCAGCCCAGATTCCTCACAAAGCTGCATGTGTGGACAGTACACCATGATACATCATATCTCTGCACAGACTTCTGCTTTTCTCTCTAACAACAGAGGCAGAAAGTTACCAGCTGCGTGACCTTGTGCACCTCATGTAAATACTTCTCCCGGATTCAACGCCAGGCTGAATTTGGGCCATGGTGTCTAGGAACTCTTCTGCTGCTCAAGTTTTGGAAGAGCACCAGGAGGAAGCTGCGTCCAGAGGAAGACAATGGGGCATCAGTAGGCGGGATGCATTGGAGGAGATGGAGGCAGGGTGAGGAGGTCTTCAGGATAGGCTGTCGGGGACCCCCGGAGAGTTGGCACTCATGGGCATGGGGGTGCAGGGGAGGAGGAAGAGGAGGAAGATCTGAAGTCTGAGCACCCAGCCAGGCTGGAAGTGGAGTGAGGCCTGAGAGGCAGCAAGGAGATAAAGCAGAGGAGAGAGGAGGAGAGAGAGTTCAGCTTGGGACACATTTGGTCTGAGGTTCTGATAGGGGAAGGCAAATATTTTGCAGTTTGGGAACAGGGAGTCCCCTGGGCACATCCAGGGTAAACCAGAATTTCCAGCTCATTCTGCTATACTGTTGAATTTTAATCCCAAAATGCATTTATAAACCTGGTATGCGGAGGTATAAGTTAAATAAACACCAACTCTGAGACACGATAAAAATGCCCCCTAAGGAGCTCTGGGAGACAATGAAGAACTAGGTGCCTGGGTGGCTCAGTCGGTTAAGCCTCCACCTATGGCTCAGGTCATGATCTCAAGGTTCGTGGGTTCGAGCCCTGTGTCGGGCTCCGTGCTGACAGTTCAGAGCCTGGAGTCTGCTTTGGATTCTGTGTCTCCCTCTCTCTCCGCCCCTCCCCCCGCCCACTCTCTGTCTCAAAAATAAATAAAACTTTACCAAAAAAAAAGGAAAAAAAGAACTATCTCTCTCCAGCACTCGAGGTCTTATTTCCTTGTGATGTCACACGTTTATTGCTCTGGTTTCTCCTTTTATTCGTTTGCTTGTTTGTCTCACAAGGTATACATGTTTCTCATGGGAAAATTTGTAATATGATAACTTTTAGATAGAATACCTGTCACGGAAAGCACTCCTTTTTTTATTTTTAATATTTTTTAATGTTTTATTTATTTCTGAGAGAGAGGGAGAGAGAGAGGCAGCGTGAGCAGGGAAGGGTCAGAGAGAGAGGGAGACACAGAATCTGAAACAGGCTCCAGGCTCTGAGCTGTCAGCACAGAGCCTCACACGGGGCTCAAACCCACGAACCATGAGATCATGACCTGAGCCAAAGTCGGATGCTTAACCGACTGAGCCACCCGGGTTCCCCACGGAAAGCAGTCCTATAACATGTTCGTTGTCTAAAGCTTGTTTTTAACGAGTATTATTTGATTTAAATATTTTCCTAAACAAGTGAATGAAATGTGGCCAAAGGCTGCAAACAGCCAGTGTTAGCTGAAAGCACCAGATCAAGAAATTATTAAATTCCCTGAAGAAAAATGGAGCAATACTGCTTACAAAAATATTTTGGCTGTTATACAGCAATATAATCTTTAAAAGAGACATTTACAGTACTGAAAGAATATCATTGCTGTATCGCTTTAGCAGATGTATTACAGAAGAATTAGAACTGATCCATGTAGTTGGATCGGAGGAAATGCCAGCCCCTCCCTGGCAGCGGGAAATAACAGACTACCAAGTGAAAGTGTTGTAGCATCAAGCATTTTCCCCTACTTTACCAAAGTTGGCAATCAGTAGATTCACCCTTACCTGAAATCAGATTATAAATGAAATCTAGTTCTTCTCATATATGGGGAAAGAAAGCACCCGCAAAGTATAAACTTGTGTGAGAGATCTTTTCCTTTTATAAAAATAGTAAAAAGTCCTTGGGTTTATCTCTGGACTTGGAGGCCCTCAGAGGTCAAGTGGATGGACACTTGGAGCCAGGCTGCCTGAGATGAAATCTTGGCTTTGTGATTTCCTAGCCTTGAGATCTCGGGTAAATTTCCCCTTCTATACTATAGAGGTAATAATAATACTTAACCCCATGGGATTGTTGTAAGGATTACATGAGTTAATGCATGTAACATACCTTAGAACAGCACCTGGGACAAAGTACAAAATAAGTGTTAGTGGTTAGCACTGTTATTTTAAAACACAGAGTAGAAAATTCCCTCAAAAACACTGCAGAAGAGGACTAGAAAAGCAAAAATGTTTACTCTTATTCTAAATCACTTAGAACTTTGGAAGATCATAGTCTTAAAAAAAATATTTTTTAACTACCCCGTATATAAGAACAAATTCTTAAAACATTTTCTTTCCTTTGAAAAATAACAGTATCAGAAAGAGTTTGTAGATAGCAACTGAAAGCGAGAGAGGTGACTTATCTCCAAGAACTTAGAAATCAGTTGGCTTTATTCGATTAAACAAAACAGAGATATTAAGACACTTTATAAGGACACTATTTCCCCAGCCAAGCCAGGACTCCAACTTAACTGAATACATTAACATTTATACACGAGGAATGCAGTAATCACAATAGACGTTATTGTACAATGGGAACTCGGGAAAGGCAGTGGACCTCCAAGGTTAATAATGTCTTGTCCACTTGATACTTAATTTCTCATCAAAATTAATGAATAGGATTTCGAGTTTTTAGAAGATGCAGATGCCATGCCCCAAGCCTGCAAACCTGCGGCTACAGTCTCCCCATCCATTCACAGGACATGTCAGGAATGTTCCAGAAACAGGACCCTCATGTCACAGTATATTCTAAAACAGCAATGAAAAAACAATGAATGCAGTTCTTCAGGATCTTTTTGCTCCCACAAGTTGGACCAATTGGGCTTGAAGGACCAATGTTAAAAATTCCACCAAAAGATAAGATAATTTGCCAAACATTCCATTAAATCAACTTTCAAAAGCAAATGTCATTTCTAAATTAAGCAAAACCCCAGCTTCTTCTGGATCTTTAAAATGTCTTTGTTATTTTGGAAAATCTTATCGCTTTGAGTGGGGGAGTGTGGGATCTTCCTGACCCCATTTTAGACTTGCTTTAAATTTCTTTTAAAATAATGCCAACTTTCAAAAAACAACAAATACTTCTTGTTAATAAAACATTTGTGAAAGTTGAGGGTGAAGAGTTTCTCATATGTGCTGCTCTGGCTTTGTCAGGATTGGTTCTGGCTTTTGCTGAGGTTTTCACAAAAATAAAAACATTTTGAGGATTTTTCTGATTCAGACCAGACTAGAGTTTATTAGCAACTGAGACTTAATCAACTATGTTACACATGATATATATTAAAACTATAATATATAAAGTGATCCTCATCTAGTCATCTCAACAATACAGTAAAAATAAATCAGTCTAATTTTTGAAAAGGGATGTTTATCTCCTGCTGATTCAGAGACTTAGCCTCAGTTGAAAATAACCTCTTGATAAGCTTGCATTACTAGTCATAAATGTCCTTGGTCTATAAAGCTTCCTCTAATAAAAGAGAAAGAGAAGGAAGAAAGATACAGAGAGCTGAGCACTCAGCTAACCATTTCTTTCTTTTTTTTAATGTTTTTTTATTTATGTCTAGGAGAGAGAGAGAGAGAGAGAGACAGTGTGAGCAGGGGAGGGTCAGAGAGAGAGGGAGTCACAGACTGAAACAGGCTCCAGGCTCTGAGCTGGCTGTCAGCACAGAGCCCGACGCGGGGCTCGAACCCACGAACCGCGAGATCATGACCTAAGCGAAAGTCGGACGCTTAACCGACTAAGCCACCCAGGTGCCCCTAACCATTTCTTTTTTTTAATGAATGCCTCAGCCTTTCCAGGGACAAATGTCTCTTGAGGTGTTCCTCAAAGCTCCATCATTGATACAAAACACTGATTTCTGAGGGTAAACTGCCTTTATTTCACTGGATCAATCAGCCACAATTACTTATCACCTGCTCCATACAGAACAGCGACCAGAATGTATCCAGTGAGTCAAAAAGAGAGGAAAAGGTATGTAAGTCTAACCTCAAGGACTTTCAGATTCATGAGGAAGCATGAGATGTGGAAAAGAGGAAAACCATAAAACCACAGACAAAACCAGTCACCGAGCAATATTGAGAACATGGTAAGTCATAGCTGGATGGAAAAGGACCTGATGATGTCCAGAGAAAGTCTTCACTGAGGAGCTGAATCTTACCATAACTCTGAAAGATAACGTGAGAAAAAGTAAGACTTTCCCAATTCAGTACATCAGGCTTCAGGGTGCGCCATCGTATAGCACCTATGTGAACAAAACTCTCCGAATCCGCTGTTATACACTGCAGTGTTCACACAGAGTCGCAGAAACTCAGACATCCGCGTAGCCTGACTTGCCCCAAAGCAAAACCAAATCCAGGGCCCAGGCTTGCGTTTTC